TCTTGACTTGGTGACAATCCTTATCTTCTTGTCTGAATAACCTTGATAACGTCAAAATTTGAACTAGACTTCCATATGAAAATTCTAGGAAATTATCTTAGCTTTTTAGAAAAAAAAAATTAAGGTCATTTGGACTTCTAGTACTCGAGATATGGGTTGAATACTGAACAACATTTGGACTGCATGACATATTCAAACTTTTACGTTGTTGCTAAAATTTGAACTTCCAAACAGCAGAATTAAGTCTTGACTTTTCATGAAAATTTTAGGCTTATGTCTTAGATTTCCATTCATATAAAGTAGACCTAAATCTGAGATATACAGCTCCAGATATGACCCAATTACTGTACAGTATTCCAGTTTGAATTGCACCAGCATCTTTTTTCTAAGTTTGACCCTCTCTCTCCCCTTTCAATTTCAATACTTCAACTCATCAATCAATCCTTTTATTTATGTGATAGGCCTGCATTTAGAATGAATATTTACTATAAATTAAAGATACCTTATCGTATCAGATTTGTTATTATAAAACATGTTTTAGTTAAGGAGTTATTGATACTTTAAGTGCAAAATGATGATATAAAACTTTGATAAAAATACACTTTTAAATATTAATCATTAAACAAAGATTTTCTCTCTCTTCAATTGAAATTAGACAACTCTCTCTCTCCTTTCTGAAACCCAAAGAATGAAAAATAAGATAAATGGAGTTTTAGATACTAGGATTTTTAAAACTGAAAGGACTAAAGATGAATTAGTAAAATAGTAGATGAATCAAAGAGAACTTTTGCCAATTTATAAATGGCCACTAAGGTTTTACATTTGTAAGGGACTAAAGATGTATTAGTAAAATAATAGATGAATAAAAAAAAAACTTTTGCTAATTTATAAATGACCATTAAGTTTTTACATGTTTTTTTTAACTTTGTTATTTATCTTTAAATCTTGCCCCTAACAAATTTGAAACAAACGGTCATCATTTTAGCCAAAAAATGATCTAATTAAGAAACAAAATTTAAAAATTAAATTAAAATAAAAAAAAATATAATACTACTATATTCCATAGTAAAAATATAAAGGGATGATTTATGAAATTTACACTATAAAAGTACCACATGATTTAGGTTCTTTTAATTAATTTTTCAACCTACCCTTTGCCATGAGTCAAAATATTTTTTCTCAATATAAAAAATAAATATTTAAGATTTTTTAATGTATTTTTTAATATAAATAAATCTCAATTTTAAATTAAAAAGTTGATACATGCATTTAATTAAATAAATCAATAACCAACTATTTCAATAAGTACAAAAAAGTTGCAATTTAAATATTGATTTGAAAAAATTGGTAAATAACTATACATTAAAAAATTTAATTTTATAATATGAATAATGTATACCGTTTGTATTTAATAATTTTATATTTTAAAAATAATAAAACAAGAATGCTTCTTGATATCATTAAAAAAAGGGTAGTTAAGTTGCCCATTCAAGAAACAATAGATAGCCCAAACATATCATTAAAAATTGGGGCTACGACTAGACTACTGAAAAAGTGACACGTGTATAGGGACACGCGTTCAACCCAAAACGAGAGGCTGGTTTAGTTGTAGGTTTTGATATCACGTCGCTTCGATGCTTAACCCGTCGTTTTGTTTTCGAAGCAGTTCCTTCCTGGTCGTAGCGGGAGATAAATCAGAACTCTTTCTCCGTCGTCGTTTTGCTAAAAATTTATCCCAGTCTCCCTTTTCAGGTTCGTAATTCCTTTATCCCCTATTCCTCCTCCTCCTTGTTTTTTCATTTTCCCG